TTTTTTTTTTTTTTTTTTGGTCAACAGAAAAACTGATACTTTTTCCACTTAGGAAGTGGGACCCAGTAAATCGGGTCCAACCGAATAAGCTAACAGTCGACCCGGAAAGAAAGAGTGGAGATGAGGAACCCCACACTCCGAAATACTTGGACGCGGTTTTATGGACGTTGACTGGGTCCTGCAATTACTATTTGTCCTTTGCTTGCCAACGTGCGTGCCTGCTTGTAAGTTGCCATTAGGCAACAATAATTGTTAATTGGCGAAATACCTAGACTGCCATCCGTGGCAATGTTTAATCTAAAATTCGGAAAAGATGAAGCAACTAAATTTATAATTGAGGCCTAAAAGCAACAGATTCAATCAAAAAAAAAGAAGCTAAACCGTTGTGATAAAATATAGAATAAAACGATGAATTGTAAAGAAAGAACAGAAAGATATATTATTTGATGGCCGTTCGGAGCTTGAATGTTTGGAGTCAGATTACAAAGAGCTTGTAAAATTGCTTAAGGTAAAAATAATAGTATTTCAAATGATGATAGTGATTCTAGAGATTATAGATTGTCTTTACTGATGAACTAAGTGCTAGCTTTTATGGTGGAGATGCTAGGTTGTCGTTTTCTTGAGTCATATTGTCGTTACACTCATTTATTCTGGCCATCTGAATAATCTATAACGTTGATTTTGACATGTCCATCTAAGAAGGGATACGCGCGTCTGGGATCCATTATGTCACTACCATGCACAAAGCAACCTCATTATTCTATTCATTCTACATGAATGCATATGCTAAGCACCACCAACAACAACATACTCAGTATATTCTCACAAGTGGAGTCTGACGAGGGTAGTATGTACGCAGACTTTACCCCTACCTAGTGAAGGTAGGAGGTTGTTTCCAATAGACCCTCGGCTCAGAAAGATAGGGAGGAGGAGGAGGAGGAGGAGAAAAAAGAAAAAGAAAAAGAAAGAAAGAGAGGGAGAAGAAAGGGAGGGAGAAAAGAATAAGTAGTACGTACCAAATAGTAATAACATGGAAATACGATAACTGAAACGAACCAAGCAACATGACGTAATACAAATCTGAGAAGAAGAAAGTACATGCGTGCTACTAATACTCCTCGTAAAAAAAGGAGAAACTCTCAACTACCTATCTTCTACCCTAATCCCCAACCTCCACATCCTTCTATCAAGGGTCATGTCTTCAATAAGCTGAAATCGTGACATGTCCTTCCTAATCTCCTCTCCCCAGTGCTTCTTTGGTCTGCCTCGACATCTTCTCAAACCCATCATGGCCAGCCTCTCGCACCTCCTAACACGAGTTTCAATGCTTCTCCTCAATGCATATGCTAAGCAAATATTCATAAAACAATTAGGGTGTAAATTCAAAGAAAAACCAAAGTAAAACTAATTCTGATATATTATAATAAAATAAAAATATCATGTTCAAAAAAAAAACTTTGAATGCGAAAACTATCTATCTAAACCCACATGACTATCTAGGAACCTCTAGCTATATAACTGACTAAGAGATAGCAAGAGACAATTCCCCAACTCATCAACTCATAATTTAAAACTAAGGAAATAAATGACTCAATAACGCCTTGTGGAAGTAAACAAGGCATACCAAAACAGAAAGTGTCTGAAAAGCTAGAAGGACTTGCTCTTCAACGCCTGTATTGTCTACAAAGTCTGACATAACAGAAAAAAGAGTATGCCTAATTATAGTGGCACTCAGTATGCGTCATCACCTAAACTCGAGGTGGGGCTTGGCTTTGAAAATAATATGCAATGCAATAAAATAATCTTTGAAATATCAATGCGATAATACATAGTATACTAATATTATAAAAGTAAATATTATTTTTTTCCAAGGGAGTACTAACACTAATTAACATATCATGTTCTTGTTTACCCGAAAATCGGTACAGTTAAATTTGTTCGTGATTTATAGACAAGTGAATTAATTTAATCCAAAGGATAAAAAAATAACTGATGAAATATAAAATACTTAGCCTTAGAATATAGATGAAACAGTAGAGCTAATGAGTCCGGGAACAAGGTTTCCGGGTACAACAATGATAAGAACAAAAGCGAGAGAATCAAATTGTATTAAAATGCTATATAGAATGTAACATATGTTAGCCCGAAAATTCATCCCTTTACAATGATAACTGAGCTATGTCTAGGGAAGGAGGTCCTAGGATCATGCCCTTCTTTAATGTCAATTATGAGGGCCATTGATGAAGATGTAACGTTAGACATAAATGCCAAATTCCTTGTAACGGGCCATCATCCTTAATGCTGGAAAATATTCTGTATTAAATGTTACCGGGCGCAAAGCATTTAATACTCCTTTTATGATCATTATTCCTTCTGGTGACAGGCGGAATAGCTATATTCGGTGGCCATCTCCATCTTGTGCTCCACGTGTCCTTCCTTTAAGCGGCCACGTGTCATGTCGTATGTTTTTCCTATACATATAGTCCCCCTATTTTTCGGTGACATAGCTTTGTGTTACCGGAAAATTGGTAGAAACACTCTTTTGGCGGGAATTACTATAATTCCTTTTGAAGGCCACTAACAGTTGATTAGACGCATGTCTCTCCGCATTTAATGCCCCGAACATGTGTCTTCCTATGATTTAGAACGCCTTTTGCCGATTATCGAGGTAATCATGGCCATGAGTTTAGCCGCCAAAATTTTAGTTATACGCATCATCCTTCTCTTATGTACTTCATAATCTCTCAAACTTCTAATTTGCACCTTTATTTCCCAACTTTTCTCAGATCTTCTTCGAACCAGAAATTTTCCTTCCTTCTATTCCAATGGCTTCCTCTTCAAAACGTGCTAGTTCTTCAAAGGGCAAAATCGAGGATTTCTTTCCTCCAACGGTGGGTTCCATCATCCCAAGAAGGCTTAATACTTCAAACTTTCTACTGCTAACCATCGCACATGGGCTGTTAGTAGGTACCCTTTTTCTATTCGGCCTTCCAGTATTCCTGATGTGAAGGAGGACTGCCATTGTCATGAGTTAGACATCATTTCTCCTGACATATCGGAGCTAGTGACCCTTCCCAAGGAAGGGTTTGCATATTTTTTTCACGTATCCCTTTACTTTGGGTGCGTTTTCTTTGATCGGAGAGCTTGATTCCGTGATTGCGGAGTTTTGTCTTCGCTACCAAGTGTGTTTGGCACAGGTATGTCCTTCAGTGTGGAGGACGGTTGCCTGCCTTCGACGTCTATGCCTAGAAACTGGAGAGGAGCTAACCCTAGCTAATATGATGAATCTTTATTCCCCCAAAATCTTCCGCGGGGGAATGATAAACCTATGCAAGAGTGGCCACAATGCTTTGTTGTTTATCATGGACGACGACAACGACTGTGGGTAGATGAAACGATTCGTTGCAGTTGCCACCAGTGACATTATTCCAACAACAGCATCATCCTTTCCGGTTGCTTGGAACCGCTCCCGTATGTTCTCTTTAATACATCTTTTCTTACTAAATATTCTTTCATGCTTGTATTGATCCTTCAACCTTCGTTTGTCACATCGACTCGATGGATCCCACCGGTGATAGAAGGTTTGGACCGGTAGGTTTAGAAGATCTTGGACATCACAACGCCCGAAACCCGTTTGTGGAAAGAACTATCCATTAAGTACGGGTGGAAGGCCAAAAATCATGATATCTTTAATTTACCTCGTTTCCACTTTTTGTGTATGAAGAACTTGATTGAACCCTTCTGACCTGCTCACGAAATTAGGTCTACCTGTAGGCTAAGTTGATGTCCCCGAGGAGGATGTTTTGGTTAACCCTGATGATGTGGTGAGGCTGCCTCAGAAGGCACTTACTCGAACAGGCGTCTCCGAGCCTGCTTCAGGCACAAGCATTTCTTTACTGAGTCCTCGGCCAGAGAACAAGCAACCAAAAAGGAGACACTACTGCGGCTGGGGAAAAGAATAAGAGGGCAAAGGTTGATGCCCCCGAATCATCTCCGGTGGCGATAATGACTGGTCCTCCTTCCGGGCTAGTCATAGACACTGTGATGATCAACGATTATGAAGAAGCTAGTGATGATGGAGCTTCTTTACATAGAAGGATACGATCCTCATCATCTCAACAGGATGCTCGACCTGCTGAGACAATTGCAACAGCTGAAGATGACGTCTCAGCACTTTGGGGAGAATTTGATTTGGTAGTGTCACGCCCCAACCTCGAGAAGCGTGACTGGCGCTCAACCGAGTGAACCCGGCCGAGAAATCCTTTTAGATACTTTCTACCCAATTAAACCATGATCAAGAAAAGACGTGATTTCATTAATTATACAGTAGGAATCTCATTCATACAATCCTAAATCGGTTCATTAGTCATTGCACCTTTAAGTCTCAAAATACATATTTCTTATAGTTCGAGTGGAACAAGTGATCAAACACAACATAACTTTTTTAACATTCTTAACACCCATATACAACCCACATAGTGTCTACGGAGCCTCTAAAGATACAAAAGGGAGTAAAGATGGTGCCGGCAACAAGGTCTCGGCTATACCTCAAAAAGTGACCATAATATAAACAAAAGGTACAATACATGACCCCGAAATGAAATGGGGCTCACCGAGTCTACTAAGAAAAGGATGCAACACTATTTGTTATCAGCACTGTCTGCTATGTAACCACATGCATCCATTTAAAGATGCAGCGCCCCCGGCAAAAGGGACGTTAGTACCGTTGAATAGCACTAGTATGTATAGCTAAACACCACTCAATAGAATGAATAATAATACAAGAGTAAAAGTCAAAAATTCAATAATAGCTTTCAAATAATATTAAAAC